TGCCCATGCGCGAGCGCCAGATTCGCGATCCGGACGAAGATGTCTTCATTGGCCTTCTCGAGACTTTTATCAAGAGCGGGCCCATGTACTTTTCGTACTCCATCGACCTGACCAACTCCTTTCAACGACAGTCCTTGGCCGACACTTCCCTTCCTCTATGGCTTCGCGCCGATGACCGGTTCTTCTTCAACAAGCACCTCCAGTCGCCCCTCATCGATTTTCGAACAACAGGCGCGCGAGGCCAGCCCGGTCCCCAACATGGCGCAGACCCCTTCATTCTCCCCGTCATCTTCGGCGTGCTGGAAATCCGCCCGACCAAGTTCAAGAACTCTCCCCTGACAATCGTCCTTATTTCGCGTCGCTCCAGACACCGTGGCGGCACTCGGTACTTCACGAGAGGTCTCGACGAGCAAGGCCATGCTGCCAACTACAATGAAACAGAACAGGTCGTTATCGTCAACGACACGAACAACGGCATGGGCGGCTTTGCCGGCAGTGCCGACATGCAGAGTGGCCAGTTTGGTGCCGAAGGCAAGGAGATGCAGATCATGTCGTACGTCCAGACCCGTGGTAGTGTACCGGCTTACTGGGCCGAGATCAACAGCCTCAAGTACACCCCAAAGATCCAGGTTCGCGGCATCGAGACAGCCTTGCGCGCTGCACAGCTTCACTTTGACGAGCAGATCAAGATCTATGGTGACAACTACCTCATCAACCTGGTCAACAAGACTGGTCGTGAGCGTAACATCAAGGGCGCTTACGAGAAGGTCGTCGAGCTTCTCGTCTCTTCGCCGAGGGAGAAGACCGAGGGTGACCGGATCACCGATGAAAAGTTCACCACCATTCAGCCCGAGAAGCAAAGGTCCGAGTTTGACCGCCTGCACTATATTTACTTCGACTATCATCACGAAACGAAGGGCATGAAGATGCACCGAGCCTATGCGCTCATCGAGAGGCTTAGCGAGGCTCTCGCGAGCCAGGGCTATTTCCGTGCTGTCGACATGCCGGGCAATAACGACGGTGGTCTAGAGGGCCGCTCTTTCCAGACGTCCGTCATGCGCACCAACTGCATGGACTGTCTCGATCGCACCAATGTCGTCCAGTCTATGTTTGCTCGTCATACTCTGGACCGTATCCTTGAGGACCTTGGCCTCATGGCCCGCGGCTCTTCTTTCCGTGACGAGGATCCCGCCTTTGAGGACCTCTTCCGCAACATGTGGGCCGACAATGCAGACGTTGTTTCATGCTCCTACTCCGGCACTGGTGCCATGAAGACGGACGTCACCCGTACGGGCAAGCGTACCAAGGTTGGTGCGCTCCAGGACGGCCGCATTGGTGTCACCCGTTACTTCAAGAACAACTTCCTCGACGGGCCCCGCCAGGACTCGTTCGACCTGTTCCTCGGCGTCTACAGCCCCGGGGCTGACCTGGGCGGCTCTGGCCTCATCTTTGCCGACCGCCGGCCCATCCTCATCCAGTCGGTCCCCTACCTCCTCGCCTTCAGCGTGTTCCTCGTCTTTGTCGGCCTCTTTACTCGCACCGAGTCCACCCTCGCCATCCGTTTCTTCATCCTCTTCTGGCTCGTCGTGTCCGCCTGGGCCGCTAGCTTCATCGTCAGCCACGGCATGCTCTACGTAAGTCACCTCACTGAACTTGAAATATCGAGGCCTCGTGCTAACATGTGCAGGTCAACTGGCCCAAGCTCAACCCTAGGCCCTGGGCCAACGAGGGCTACAACGAGCACATGAACAAGGCGCGCAAGGACTCCATGATCGGTACCCTTGTCGCAAAACACGAGCGCGGACTCAGCACGGCGCGGTATCTCAATGCCGAGGAGGGCAAGAAGAGGATCGAGTAGAGGGGTCTCCTTGTTCATCTTCCTTTTCTAGATCTTTAGCCAGTATGACGTTGCATACATCCATGTGCCACCGCCTTTCTTCTCATCGCCGCAAAAGTAGATAGCGAGCGTAATACATTTTTTTTTTGGTCACGTCAAGTCGTTTCATAAATGTCTATGTCATGAAATTTCAACTATCACGAGGCACGAAGCAGAGGCTGGCTAGATGAAGATGCAAAAAAACAGTAAGAAAAATTACAGTATGATTAAGAAAAACGTAACATGCCTAACAATCCGAGAGGAAGCTATACATTGGAAAGAGGGATGCCAAAAAGCCGAGACGAATGCAACAGCAACAAAGAGAATAAGAATGAGGCGGGGTAGAGGATGAAAAAAAAAACCACAACAGGAGTCAGAAGAAGCAGGCTACCACCAACACGGAAAGAGATTCATGGCTCTGGCCGCGGTAGTCGACATACCTCCTCTGCTCGGGTATCAAATCCAAGACTGCGAAACGGAGAGAGGAAAAGAAAACAAAAGAGAGAGAAAAGAGAAAGCCCAAGAAATGCTCGCCATCCGTGCTATGCTCCCTCTTCTGCCCATATCAATGTCATCCATCAACGTCCCTTCTGCTTTCCCTCTTGTCTTCACATCGTAACTAGACCTCGTGGCATGGCAAACACCAAATAGACACTTCTCTTCGTACACTGTTACAGCCACAGCAGCCACCTCACGCCGCCGACGACGCCCTTGCCGAACCCGACAAAGACGCGGAGGATCATGACGACGAACCAGACGTACCACATGATACCCACGAGACCCCACTCGACACCAAGCCACAGCGCCCGTCTCACCCAGCGGAAACGCCGGCGGCGCCGGCGCAGCATCTTGTCGATGACGTCGACGACGGCCTTGATCTTGAGCCGCTGACCGAAGGCAAGGTCGCGGCTTGTCTCGTCCGCCTCGTCCGCCGCGGCACGCGTCATAGCCGATAGGTCGACGGCAATGTGTCTGCGAATGTCCTCAATGTTCGCTTGCAGCGTTGGCGTCGTCTCGCTTGTGAAGGCGTCGGCAGCGTGCTGCCATTCGAGGCCGGCGCACTGCATCGAGCTGCTGAGGGTGCGGGCGGCCGAGTTGAATAAAAGCTCGACCTGAGCGACGGACCGGGCCCCGAAGCTCCCCAAGGGTTCTGAACTGGGCGATGGCGGGCCCAGAAAGGGGGGGTTTCTCTTTCGGTCGGACGTCCTCCGAAGGAGCCGCCGGGGGAGCAGCGAAAGCGGGCCGGGGCTCGTAGGCGCGGCGAGAGATCTCCATGGCTTTGATACCAGAGCTTAGCACTAGGGCGCGCAGACGGGCTACCTCGTGACGGCTCAGAGGGGCGCGCTGCGGGGAGGGGCTGCGGTCGGAGATCGACCAGTGGCGACCGTCAAAAGTAGTAGCCAGTGAGCCAAGGCGGTCCCTGTTGAAGGATTGCGGCATCGAGATCACGGAGCTGAGACGGCGGCCTGCTTTATGTACATCCTCGTGGGACGTACTTCCTCGCTGTGTTTGAGATTCGGAGTCTTCCAACTCGCCACGCTGCCCTGTCGCTGGCGGTGATGTTGACGGTGATGCATGGTGAACGTCGATGCGAGGCGGTTTCAGCAAGTCAAACCGGGACGACCGACTAGGAGGCCTGGATGACTGAAGGCCGGGGGCTTCCAACTGGCTAGGGGCCAACCTATCGTGTGAAGCATGCTGGAATGTAGGCATTACGTCCAAATAGTTCTTGCCTTTCTGGAGCTGCGCTTCTCGACGGTCTCGCATGGATAACGATGTTGTCCGCGATAGAGACAGATTCGCCCTGCGCCTGCCCCTAGCCGGCTCAGCATCCGACTCGTCAGTCGCCGTGGCCTCGCCGTCAGACTGGTTGCCATCATCCTGCTCAGAGTCCTTCCGCCAGATAAAGTCACCTAATTTGGATGCGCCTTCGCGGATCAACGTATCCAGGCGCGCCCCCTTGAACAGTCCCTTGGCTCCAGACTCGTCGCTTCTACGCTTGGGGCCTGCCCTGTACGTATCGGTCGGCTGTCGTGGCAATAGGTTTCTCGGAGGACTTCTCGATCCTCGCCTCTCGGGAGTTTCCGACATCGGTTGAGGAGACTCGGTCACAATGCCCTTGAGGTCAATCGGAGGACCGAGGTCGCCATCTCGCGTCTCGGAAGGATCGTTTCCACGTTCCTTGCTCCTCTCGCGGAAGATACTCTTCACCTTGTGGAAAGGGTTGCGCGTGGGAGATCCAGCACGACTAGGCAGCGCTGAGAGGTCGGACCCAATTGTCGGGATAAATGGACTGTAGCCATGAGGGTGGTTGTCGGGCGAGTTGGGTAGCGAGCATCCAAGGTCAAAAAGACGTCCTGCGCGTAGGCATTGGGATCTCCAAGCTAGACCTCCCTACTCGCTGACGAAGGGTGGCAGCTTGCGCCTGCGTCTTGCAAGGCGTGTCGTCAGACTCGCTTGCTTCAGCAAGAGACTGCTTCCGGCTCTGCTCGCGAGTGCCAGGCTGTGATGAGGAGGGAGGGCCGCGTTCGGGTGTCAGCAGCGCAGCAATGGCAGCATCGACCGATTGCGTGTCCGATCCGTTCTCTCTGGCCTCCCTGGCTATCATCTCGAGCATCTGCTTCTCAAGAATGTCCCTGCTGTTGCTGGTAAATGTGCGTTGTGGCATCCTCCTCTCTTTGGCTTCCTCTTCGCTGTCTGAGAGATCCGAGTGGGGTGCCTTGGTTAATCTCCGTATGTCGGTATGGCTATGCGAGCCGTGTCGATGATGCAAGCCCTTGAGCTCATGAAGCTTTTGGCGGGCTCGCTCTCGGGCACTACTGTGGGAGTGCTCGCTATCCGTCTTAATTGGTCTTGGGTTTCCGGTCCTCTGGTTCAGAGGAATTTCGAGCGAGCCCCGTGTGTGAGTTGTCATGAGTGACTCTGGCCTAGACATATCTGTTTGGCCTGTCAAGGGTCTGAACAGGTTTGATGAAGGAGGAAAAATTCGTCGCCATTGGCGGTCTTCGATCAACTGTAGGTGGTTGTCCTGCTCGAGCCAGTATGCATCGGCGATCATATCGGCCGGCTCAATGAGCCAGTCCACTTTGGGTCTTTTGGGCTTGACAACGTTGGCCGAAGGCGATGTTGCTTGTGCGTGCATGTCCGCATCGGCAAATGGCGGCAACGAAGGACCATCAGGCAAGATGGACTGTCCAGTTGCCGCCCACCTTGCCACGTTATCCACCCAGTCCGTGACCTTCTTGACGTCGCTGAAGCCTTGAGCTTCGCCGTCGATGGCCTTGCGCTCACGGGCTCGAACTTTGCGGTTGCGGATGTACTGCAGTGGGTTATAAGGTCGTCCAAACCTTGCGCTCCCATCCGCGCTTGCCAGTGTAGAGGTCCTCGATAGTTCGGCCGGGGATGATGGTGGGCTGGCGGTTGTCGGTCGCCGGGCGTTTGCATTAAGAGGTGGGACGAGCTCCAACATGCGTCGGTACTGTGCCATGAGCTCCAGGTGCTCCTTGGCCTTCTGTGCTCGAGCCAACGTCGAGGGAGAGAATTGGTATCTGTATGAGCTCTCACGGCCAAGGTCGAAAGAAGCTTGCAGAGGCGTGTTCATCCTCGAGCCTGATGGGAGGCGGGCGATGCGCCCCGACCTGCCGCGGAGAGATGTTGCGAGAGTCGTCTTGCTGGTGAGGGCACTGTGGTGGATTCCTCCTGCCGCACTGTCGGGTAGAGGCGCGAGGACAGGCGGCACAGCGTTTGATGCATTTCGCCTCGAAGCTAATCTTCTGGATTCACTCAGGTTGAGGGCCATGTTCACAATCTGTGCCGAGTCCATCTCGAACCCCTGGCTTTGGGCCCGCGGTGGCGACACTGGTTCGACAGCCTTTCCATTTGGGACGGGCCTCTTCCTGACTGTGAGGCCTTGTGATGCATCGTGATGAGGCGGGAAAACAGCCCCTCTGGATGGACTGTCGGCATTGTACGGCAGGTTGGCATCGTAGCCGGCACTGGAACCCGACTTTTCTGACGGTCTGGGAGATCCCCTCGTTCGACGTGATTGCGGCGTCAGGCGGGACTGGCGTCGTTGATGTGACTGGCTCCCGTCGTGGGAGGCAGCATCTCGTAGTGTTTCCTGCAGCAGAAACCCGCCACTGGAGCGAATCTTATGCGTCCGGTAGCCCTTGGCCTCCTTCGTGGCACTCCCGTTTGCGTTCTCGACCGCGTGCTGTCTCGGTATCGGGTGGCCAGCGACTTCGTCGGGCGAAGCGATGGCCAGCGTCGTCTCGGTGGTGGGGGCGGTCATGCTACTGCTGCTACCACCAGCAGCGGCACTCGACTCGGCAGTCTCGTGGCTCGTCCGCTCGCGGCGGCTGGCAGGCGTCGATGCCCGGCTGGGGCGCCTCGTCGAAGTGAATAGGACAGAGGAGGCATCCTTCTCCGACATGGCGGCGTGTGAGGGGGTTCGGCGGGGGCAGGACGTCGTCGCATGCCACTTCGCGGCACAGTTGCCGATGGGTGATGGGTTGTCGCTCAGAACATGCAGTAGCGCTACGGAATCTACTGTTCGATGACGGGTGGTGGAGTATCAAGCTGTCGATGCATCCATGAGGGCCGGCCTTGATGGTTGTTGAAGAACCGAAGGCATCAAGGAGAAAAGTCTGCCCATGGGCGTTGCATTGGCGGGTGGCTTTCCTTGATGCTGGGTCTCGTTGGGGCGCAGGACAGGAACAGGGCACCACTGACATGTGCCTCGATGAGGGTCTTTTTGGGTGTCGATCAGTTTGGTATAGGTAGCTCCAGGCCCGGATCCAGGTCGAGCTTGAGGTCACGCTGTGGTCGCGCCGGCAGTCGCAATGGCAGTCGCCAGCGGAGCAAGAATATAGTAAGGGCAGGTGTCAACAGATGGTCACTGGTAAGACCCTGCCAAGGATGATGCCATGCAAAATATTGAGTGGTGGGGTTGCAAGGGGGATCTGTGGGCAAATCACACACGTCTGTGTCCAACACGAGCCAATGCTGTGCTCAGGTGCTGGAAGCCTCCTGGTGACCCAGTCGCAGCAGTTGGCAGAACATTCCCCAAATGACTTGAGCATGGCTGATCACCAAGAGACAAGTCATGAACCCCTGAAGCTAGCGAGGAACAAACAAGGCGAGAAAGGAAAAATGGAAAACCAAAAAAATCAATGGCGTAGTCCTTATGTGCTATGGACCTGATCCTGAACCTGCCATCCGAGCCGTCCCTAGTGCTGCAGGCGCCACGAGCTGAACTCCCACAACGGCCTCTCTGTCTCCCACCCCCAAAACACGAGTCTCACATAAGGTGTATCTGGGTCGATCATCAATAAATGTCACCGCCTCAGACTCGCCAGGGGTTTGTCCACCAACCCGTCCCAGAATACCCAGATCCGCCCTGCAACACGAGAATACTGAACCCGGCCATGCCCACTGCACAACAAATAGGAGGCGCCGCTCGCAGGCCGTGCCGGCGCTAGTGTCCCCCACTAGAGGTGCACTTTCAGTGGGCTCACACGGACTTTGGGTGGGCTTGGTGGGCTGTGGCTCAGTTGGCGGGGCACCTGAGCTGACATCCAACCGCGACCGCTTCTGTACTTAGTACCAAGTGTTGAAGCTCTGGGTCGAACCTGCTGGACGAGAAAGCAGCTCAGCTACCGTACCTGCCTATATTTGGCATGATCCCTCAATGTTGATCGTCAACGCTTGATTGATCTCTTTTCCCATTTCGATTCTGAATCATCTTTCCTACCCCGTTTTCCTCCTTGGCTCAATTCCTCTTCAGACTTGTTCGTACCTCGATACAAGCACATTACCCAATTGCCCCTCACACCCTTCGGCGAGCTGATACCCCGCCACTATGGAAGCCATCAAGTCGGCCCTCAACATCGGCAGCAAGCCCGCCGCTGCTCCCCAGCCTACTTCTGAGCAAGTTTCTGAGCTCAAGGAGAAGTACGCCAAGGCCGAGCAGGGCCACGTCTTCACCTTCTACGACTCCCTCTCCAAGGATGAGCAGGCTGCCCTTTACCAGCAGCTCTCCGGCTTCGACCCAGCCCACATCAACGACATTACCAACCGCGCACTGAACCCTCCCAAGACCGACGATGCCGACTCTTCCTCCACACAATCTGGCCTCGAGCCTCTTCCCGAGTCTGCTACAGCCAGTATCCTCGATTCTCAGCCTGAAGATCTGGAAAAGTGGTACCAGTCTGGCCTTGATCTCATTGCTCAGAACAAGGTCGCCGTCGTCCTCATGGCTGGCGGCCAGGGCACCCGTCTCGGCAGCTCTGCTCCCAAGGGCTGCTTCAACATTGACCTGCCCAGCAACAAATCCCTCTTCCAGATTCAGGCTGAGCGCATCCGCAAGGTCCAGGAGCTTGCCGCCGCCAAGGCTGGCGCTAGCACACCCGCCGTTGTCCCTTGGTATGTCATGACCTCGGGCCCTACGCGAGGTCCGACCCAGGAGTTCTTCGAGAAAAACAGCTACTTCGGTCTTGACAAGGCCAATGTCGTCATCTTTGAGCAAGGCGTCCTACCCTGCATCTCTAACGAGGGCAAGATCCTCCTCGAGAGCAAGGGCCGTGTTGCTGTGGCCCCTGACGGTAACGGTGGCCTCTACCAGGCCCTCGTCGTCTCCAACGTTCTGTCCGACATGGGCTCCCGCGGTATTGAGCACATTCACGCCTACTGTGTCGACAACTGCCTTGTCAAGGTCGCCGATCCCGTCTTCATTGGCTTCTCGGCCGCTAAGAACGTTGACATTGCCACAAAGGTCGTCCGCAAGCGCGCCGCCAACGAGTCTGTTGGACTCATCCTCCAGAAGAACGGCAAGCCCGACGTGGTCGAGTACTCTGAGATTGACGCCGCCACTGCCGAGGCAGAAGATCCTCGCCAGAAGGGCCTTCTGAAGTTCCGCGCCGCCAACATCGTCAACCACTACTACTCGGCTCGCTTCCTCGAGTCCATCCCTCAGTGGGCTCACAAGCTGCCGCACCACGTCGCCCGCAAGAAGATTCCCGCTGCTGACCTGTCCTCTGGCGAGACAGTCAAGCCCGAGAAGCCCAACGGCATCAAGCTCGAGCAGTTTGTCTTCGACGTCTTCCCCATGCTGCCTCTTGATAAGTTTGCTTGCCTCGAGGTGAAGCGCGAGGAGGAGTTTTCCCCGCTCAAGAATGCGCGCGGCACCGGTGAGGATGACCCCGACACGAGCAAGGCGGATATTATGGCCCAGGGCAAGCGCTGGGTCGAGGCTGCCGGCGCTACTGTCACCGGCGACAAGGCTTCTGACGGTATTGAGGTGTCGCCGCTGATCTCCTACGTAAGTCAACCTATCAAGAAAACCGGAAATTGACGGTGGTACTAATGTTCCGCAGGGTGGCGAGGGCCTCGAGTACGTCAAGGGCAAGGAGATTGTTGCGCCAGCCGTTTTTGAGCGCGAGTAGAGTACATGTTTACGAAGGTTACGAAGTCGGGTAGCGGCGTTGGAATTGGAATAGGAATAAAAGGGGGAGCTGGTTCTTGATCTACCACTGCATGTAAGAGTGGACTCGTCAAGTATTAGTCCGAGTGATGATGCACCAGATTATGCATGTTATGCACAACAGAGAATCGACCATACGCATTGGCTTTTGCGCTTTTGCCTTTCGAATGACGAGGAATCTGAACTCGTATAACCTTTCCCACCCAAATGGCTAATTTGGTCCGACGGACGACGACGGAGTTTCGCCAGGCCTACGAGGCCGCCTTCTGCTCATGGGCGTACCTCCGCCATCGCGTGGCTAATGATCCCGCTCTACCAGCCTCTTGCCTTTCTGTTTCCCATTCGTTCAACGGGCACCCCTATTTACATCAGCGGCTTCGACTGAGTGATGAATCCTACGTTCAGCGTATGGGGTCCCGGTATTTGCGAGAAACCGGTCGTTCGACCTAGGGCTCACCGAAGTCTTCCACCGTTTCAATAGTCTCTGGAAGTCGAGGTGTCGGCAAACGGCCCTGTCACCCTCTTCCTTGCTGATTCGGCCGGGCAAAATCCCGGTGGCAACGGAGAGGCCCTGCAACAGCCTGACTATGTGCCTGTTCTCGTACTGGCGTGGGCGTATCTCCTCTCTGTTCGCTGGGTCGAGCTGTTCGGCGAAGGTTGTTTGATGCGATACATCGACTGCAAGGCACAGATTCGGCATGGCTCACCAGAGCCGGCGCATGACGGCACATTTACTTACCTCAATATCGGAGCTCAAAACGCAGAGGAAACGCGCTGGTGGGCTGTTGTTCTCGCTCCGGGACGAGGCTGGCCGGCTGCTGAGTCTGATGGACAATGCGTCTCTCCCTGGTCCGTCTCCCTGCAAGAGTCCAATTTGACGATTGTCTGTGAGGCAAACAAGTCTACTTGCTCCTCGTTTCCCGGTTCGGCGGCGTCATTTTCTGATGCCGTGGCATTTCTCGGCCGATTTTGTGTCCGCCAAGATACCATGGATGAGAGCTGGCTGCTGTCCTGCTACTCCCAAGCTTCGGAAGGAAAAAGGCACTCAAGGTTTCGCATATGCATTTCCGCGCCAAAGTACAACTGGGAGAAACATCAGCATCCAGTCAAGGTCTTGCCTTTCAGTTACCAGATAGCTGGGTTCATCGAGACCACCACATTGACCGACTGCTCGCCTTGAGCTGCGACCCCAGAGGCACAAATTTCATACTTGCTAGCGTGGTCTATGAACCTGGGGTCGAATGCGATTTTGCGACCCCGTGGTTACAGGGTACTGTCGCCGCAATAGACTCTGGTTGCCAAAGATGATCCTCTTGCCCTTACCCACATGTTCGCGGAGCGGGAGCCAGCAGCAGCATTCCTCTGGGCCGGCGCCACCGTCCTCAGCTTACACACGTCTTTTCTCCAGGAAGTTCGAAGGGGACAGATACGGACGGATCTACCATTGGCCGTGTGGTCGGGTACATCTCAAACGTTCATCCAGCATCCTACCTCTCAACCTCTCGTCACAGACGGATCCATCTCGCACGCGGATGAGAAGAGGTTATTGTTTCTGTGTCAGACTGACGGGCACGCCAGGATGCCGATTTGCCAGTGGAGGCCTTTTGGGGTTACGCGTCTCGAAGACGTCGACTTGGAAGTCCGCGTTCATGAAGACTGTGAGAGCCACTAGCCGCAATATCGAGGTTTCGCCTGGGACTGTGTCGATGACGAGTCGCTGTTTCAATCTGCTTCCGTTTCTTTGGCTGAAAGGCGCTTAACAAAAAGTCATTCATCTTCAGAGGGAAATCGGTATTCATGCTAAGCTCTCATTTTATACGACGTGCTTGACAAACCAGGAGATCATGTATTTGAAAATGCTACTCGTAGTTTTTTTTAGTGGCTGCGCCAGGATGGATGGCCTCAGAGCGAGAAGCACATGCGAGCCCATGAGTGGTTTGACGTGTTAGATTCTGATGATGAACACGATCAAATCATCGACGAGAAAGAATGCGCGTCACCAGGGCCCAGAGACGGCGCGCATGTCGAGACTTGGCTTATCGCTGTACCAGACGACTTGCTTCAGGTATCGACACACTGAATAAGACGCACAAGAAACTCATATGCTCAGGCGCGCAGGTTATTATTTCCCCTTTCAAGATCAATTTCCTCTACTCTTCGTAGTGGTCGATGCGAAAGGTCATCTTAATCTCAACCTCATTGCTCCAACCTGGTTTCAACTGCAGATCATGCCATGCGCCCTCAACATCGATTTCCAACAGCTGGGGATGATCTTTGCTGACGGTTACGGCCTCTGTCTTGATAATGTGTCCCTGTATAGTGGCGATGAAGTCGTCATCGATAGTCAGCTTTGGCAGATTCGAGATGTAAATTCCTGCGTACCCAGGTTAGCCTGCAGGCGTCTTCACAGCCCAAATCGTAGGCTTACCTAGTGTTCCGAGGGCCTTCAGTCTGGTTTGCAACTGCACTTTTCCAGTCTGGCCTAGCTCAAAGTCACTGTTCACAATGGCGGCAGCGCCACTAAATTTCCTCACAAGACCAAGATTGGCGGTATAGACCGTGCCGTTGTTCTCACTCGCGAAGTCAGTTAGAGGATAGGCGCACAGTATGTCGGAACCTTCCGGCCCATGGGGCAGCGAGATCGTCACGTTAGACGAGGGTGAATTCGGTGAGATGGGAGACGAGATGCCCAAGCCTGTGTGGCTCCGGACGATGTACTTCATTGAAGAGAGAACACCGGGGAAACAGCTGAGAGGAATGATCTCCGCCAACCGTCTGGATGAAATATTAAAGACACCAACGATCGAGGTGCCAGCCACAGCGGAGCCTTGTAGAAGTTAAATAAGTGACACAGCCAAAGGGATGATTGTAACTCATACCATGATAGCTGCCGATCTTGAGGAGGACGTCATCGTGATAGTCATTATATGCATCGATGGTCTTTCCGACTACACTTGGACGGAAAATGACCGTCTTATTTCGTGGTGTAGGCCCAGTGAGCTGTTCAATCAACGCACGGTCATGCTGCCCAGGTACATCCGTAATGTAGATGGGCCCACCGCTAACACTCCTTGCCATTGCGTGAAAACGAGAAAATTCGCCCATCGTTTGGAACATGTCCCAATCAGGCAGAACATTGAGGTGCTGCGTCAGCAGTGCGTTGTGAGCATTCGTCCATACATGCCAAGCGTGCGACGAGGGGACATGCGGGAAGAAATCGTCTGAGGTTCGGCAGAGAATTGGCGGCTTGTTGCGTTGGAGATAGGAATGGAACATGATCTGTGGTACTTGGGACATGCAAGAGATGGCCTTGATGCTAAAGTGCCTCAGTGTCGATATGGTCCAAGCATCGAGGTACTCCTCGATGAGGTCACGACGAGCCTCGGACGATTTCCAGGTGTCCATCATGAATTGGGCATCAGTTTTCACGCCGTCGATTCCACACGAGACAAGGAACGCATAGAAATCGTTGTAGAAACGGTTGACATCGTCTTTTGCAATGACGGTCATGTTTCCCCCAAGTGGAAGTTCGCGTCGCTCGCTCTCTTCCCTGAGAACTTGCAAGGTTTTGTAGTCTTTGGCAATTTTGCCGTTTGGGGATATGCCGGCCCAGTACCCTGAGCAAATGTCAGCTAACGAGTCGCCTGCCCATGAAGATGCGGAGTTTCCCACCAAGCAACGCGTGCCATACTGCGATATGCTGGATATGGGGGTGATTTTCTCGAATCTGGGAAATAGTAGATTTCAATCCGTTGGGAAAGCCTCCCGAATCAGCTTCAAATTCAAGCCAAGAGTATTGAAACTGGCCATTCCCTTGTCGATCGATGGACTGCCAGTTGTCGTCAATGATGAGGCTCGTTATATTGACATTCACAGAGGCAAGGTGATCCAGAGCCTCTAGGATCTTGTGCTCTGTGAGATTCTGGCCTATTCCATTCCAGGTGCCTGTCATTTATTTAGAAAGGAGAACACGTAAGTAAGGAGCGGGGGAACCCACAGTAGCCGAGACCGTCATACCAATTTTCCCTCCATTCTGGCTTGATGCCTTTCTCGAGTGCTTTGATCTCCGCTTCCCGGTCGTCTCTGGTAGCTCTAACATTCAGCACATTTCGCGCCTGGTACATGACGAGCATTGGCACTTTCGAAGTTGTCACCGATTGCAGCAAGAATGATAGCCTGCTGCTCATGGATGTCATCGTTGCGGGCCTGTAGCTCGAAGTTAGTGTTTCTGGTCTCACGCCCATCAGGTCTTGGGTTAACACACCTGAACATGGACGAGGCCCTCGTCATCTCTGCTTTGGAACATGGCCGCCACATTATTCAGTCCGCTGATGGCCAATAACACCAAGTGTTTTCCCTGTGGACCAAGGAAAGAACACAACATAGCGTCTTTATCCAGATGGAATCTGGATTTACCATGTCTCGGTGCAAGCCAGGGTTTCCAGGTCCGTACCAGGGCAAACCATCTAAGAGGTTGGCCCCAAGGGATCCCAATGGAGAGGTCAAGAACCGAAGAACGATCGTCCTTCGAAGCAGGCACTGGAGCCCGAAGTGACCAAAGTCGTGTTCTGGGAGCTTGACTTGTCAAGAATTCAACTTGCCAAGCCGGATTCAACCCTTTGATATGGTCTTCGAGATTCCCAGGCAAACTCCGGACTGACGACGTGTTGACGATGACATGACCATCGTTGAGACCCAACTCGTCACGGGTCCATCTCCAGGGTTCATCCTCACCATGGCGAAACTTCAAGGTGAACTGAAGCGATGCCTGGGCATCAATGACGGCATTGAAGAATAGCCGAGCAACCCCTTCTGTTGATGAACCAAGTGCCGTGGGTGCAGTCTCAGGAGGCAGCAGCGAGGTTGGGGTCTCAACCCAGTCGGTGGCGTCACTCGATCCCCATAGTGACACCTGCCATGGTTCCTCTTGTCGAGCTTGTGGTACCTCGAGGATTACAGAGAATGATATGAGACCCCGTTGGACTTGAGTGACTTGGCCAAGGGGCGGATAGCTTTGGATAATGGCTTCCATGCCGTAGGCGAAGGGGTCAGGCGCGGGTTTTTGTTGGAAGACGTGAAGTGTCTTGAAGGCATCAGTCACCTTCCAGCCTTCCGCAGTCATTTTCGGCCTTTGATGTGCAGGATGTGATAAGTCAATGAGCTGGCGCAAGGCTTGTCCGGATATCCCGTTGGCTGACAGCAAGGGCGGGTAGGAGGGCCTTCTTCACGTGAGATGAGCAGGGTGGCAGTCAAGATGATTTGACCGCCAGTGGGGAGGATGCTGATGACGATTGGTTTGTGCACGGGATGTACGGTCTGAGATTTGTTCATAGGTGAGGTACCTCAGGGATGTGAGGAGTTGCTGGACATCCGAAGACAGCGGTCAGGTACGACCGATGTAGGACTTGCCTGTGCACCATGCATGACAGTTGCTGCAGGACATACAGTGCCACGCACGTATCAAAGCAAGGTGTCCGTATGTATGTTTGAGCACACGAAGAGAGCGTGCAGTGAGTGATGAAAAATCTTCAAAGGCAAAATACGGGGAAGCCTGGCGACATCATCTGTCGATAATTACCAAGAAGCCCGTCGCCAGTGACGAGCCCTCATGCCAGGCTCGTTGCCCGTCTCAGCGAACATGGCCCCCTATCGAGCAGGTAGTGAGTGTACTTGCTCACATTGCCATTGCACCTAGGTGGCTTGGTCAGGCAGCACCTGGCCTAACCCAGCAAAATGCTGCCCGGAAAATAGTGACGACACAGCCTGGGGCTGCTGACTCACACGATCAGGCGAGGCAGACCCGCAGTTGCAAACTCGCCACGTGCGATTGGCCAATGGCCTAACCGGCCTTTGCCGGAACAATTCGGACAAACTGTGGCCTCGCAACCCAGGCAGAAACAATCTCCAGCACTGCGAGAGCGAGAATTGGAAAGCTTCGAGCCGCGAGCCGAAACCTCATCGAAAGATTTCGTCAAACCACTCATTCCCTCCTAGATCCTCCACAACTCCGCCATGGCGTCCCGGAGACTAGCTTTGAACCTCTCGCAGGGCCTGCGCAACAGGGCGGCGCTCACCAGGACCGCTCCTCTGACGAGAGGTTTTGCCTCGCCTGCGCCTGGCAAGACCCAGACGACCACCCTCAAGAATGGCCTGACAGTACGCCTCCCTTTTCTCCGGCTCCATTGGGGAACGCCGACGACGACATCGCTTTGGACGCTCTTTTCTGACTTGATATTCAACAGGTCGCTACTGATTACTCGCCATGGTCCCAGACCTCGACTGTCGGCATGTGGATCGACGCCGGTTCCAGGGCCGAGACTGACGAGAACAACGGCACTGCTCACTTCCTCGAGCACCTTGCCTTCAAGGTACAACCGCATCAAAACAAAACGCCAATCCCGATGAACAATGTCTGATATTCGATATAGGGCACCTCCAACAGGACGCAGCAGCAGCTCGAGCTCGAGATTGAGAACATGGGTGGTCACCTGAACGCCTACACCTCGGTTCGTCACGACGCTAAATTCCTGAGCGAAATATGCTGACCATCAACCACAGCGCGAGAACACCGTCTACTTCGCCAAGGCCTTCAACTCCGATGTTCCCCAGTGCGTCGACATTCTCTCCGACATTCTCCAGAACTCCAAGCTCGAGGAGTCTGCCATTGAGCGTGAGCGCGACGTCATCCTCCGCGAGTCCGAGGAGGTCGAGAAGCAGCTCGAGGAGGTTGTCTTTGACCACCTGCACGCCACCGCCTTCCAGCACCAGCCCCTCGGCCGCACCATCCTCGGCCCTCGCCAGAACATCCGCGACATCACCCGCACCGAGCTCACCAACTACATCAAGAACAACTACACCGCTGACCGCATGGTTCTCGTTGGCTCCGGTGGTGTCCCCCACGAGAAGCTCGTCGAGCTCGCCGAGAAGAACTTCTCCAACCTGCCCGCCCAGAGCGCCCACAACCAGGCCTACCTTCTGTCCAAGCAGAAGGCCGACTTCATCGGCTCTGATGTGCGTGTCCGTGACGACCAGATCCCCACTGCCAACATCGCCATTGCTGTCGAGGGTGTCAGCTGGAACGACGACGACTACTACACCGCTCTCGTCGCTCAGGCCATTGTCGGCAACTACGACAAGGCCATGGGCAACGCTCCCCACCAGGGCAGCAAGCTCAGCGGCTTCGTCCACCGCAACAACCTGGCCAACAGCTTCATGAGCTTCTCCACCAGCTACAGCGACACCGGGTGAGTGTTGGGAAGTTCTTGCGTGATGAACGAACAAGATGGCTAACAACGGAACCAGTCTTTGGGGTATCTACCTCGTTACCGACCAGAAGGAGCGCGTCGACGATCTCGTCCACTTCGCCATCCGCGAGTGGATGCGTCTCGCCTCCAACGTCAGCGAGGCCGAGACGGAGCGCGCCAAGGCCCAGCTCAAGGCTTCCATCCTCCTGTCCCTCGACGGCACCACCGCCATTGCCGAGGACATTGGCCGCCAGCTCATCACCACCGGCCGCCGCGCCAGCCCCGGCGAGATTGAGCGCATCATCGACGCCATCACCGAGAAGGACGTCATGGACTTTGCCAACAGGAAGCTCTGGGACCAGGACATCGCCGTCAGCGCGGTAGGAAGCATCGAGGGTCTCTTCGACTACCAGAGGTTGAGGAACACCATGAAGCCCAAGTTCTAAGCGTGCAGTGCAAGCGAGCGATACCGGGGCTGGAGGCGATCCAAGGAATAGAGTGTATGAGATACCGTTTACAGGCCTAGTGTATCATAAAGACTTCTCTTGTGTTCACAGATGGCGACATGCGGGGTGTTAGCTGTTTGGTAATCGCAGGGCCTTTGCGCCTTGATGTTTCAGTGCTGATCTCTGCCGTGGCGTGCGTTTATGGTGACTGGTGAATGGAAGACATCGAACATGCGACGTAGGCTCTGTGTTACCATAACAAAACGAAAAAAAAAACATCAACAGCGTGGCAAGTACGAAAAGGGGTTGATTGCCACTCTAGTTCAATGCCATCGTCTGACAACAACGACTCCCCAGTAAAACTCCGGTAATCTACCCCCACCCCTCTACATGTTTCAGACTCCCCATCATCTATCATTTCTTGTCGAGGTAGTTGAGACGAATCTCGACCGCGCGCCTGTGAGCCTCGAGCTCCTCGACCTTGGCCAGCTGCATAACGGCCGAGCCGACATTGCGCAGGCCCTCGGCTGTGAGGTTCGAGCTCGTGATGTGCTTGACGAAGGAGCCGAGGTTGACGCCCGAGTACTGCTTGGCGAAACCGTAGGTGGCTGGAACAACGTTAGGCTGGGGCGGGGTTCACCAGGTGCAGAAGGGGGGGGGGAAACATACGAAGAGAGTGGTTCACGCCGGCCGAGTAGTCGCCGACGCTCTCGGGGGTCCACTCGCCGATGAAGATGCTGCCGGCGTTCATGACCATCTGGGCGACCTCGGGGGCGTTCTTGAGCTGGAGGATGAGGTGCTCGGGGGCGTAGTCGTTGCTGATGCGCATGGCCTCGTCAATGTCACGGACCTGGATGGTGACCGAGTGGGCAATGGCGCCGCGGACAATGTCGACCGCGCGGCAG